AACATTTAAACATGGGGTATCTACTAAATATATGGACTCAAATGTGCGATAGTAATCATCGAGAGGCTGTTTGGATTTCACCCTGGCCAGCCACACCAACACAGGGCGAGCTAATATTTTGGCGAGAGAAACGGGCGCCTCCGTTTCGCCAGCTCGCGGCCGTGGAATCTGAACAGCGAGCCAAAAAATTGGCAGGGCGCCGTAGATTTGGCCACTATCCAAACAAGCGCACATGCTTCCAGTCAACGCCCATATTTTGGCGTGGTAGCTCTTGGCTACCATCCAAACAGACTCCGGTACTCTTCGACCTGCAACTAATTATTTTGGTGCATACAAAATTGTAAATTATATTTTATAAATTTTCTCTATGAGCATAATGCTACATAAATCTCAATTTACCACAAGCCTTAGCAGTTACTATGGAACTCGGCCCATGGATTAGTCTTGCTACTTTGTACAGGTAAATTAAAACTATTACAAGTAAGGATTGATGCAGGAAATTGTGTTTGTTTAAGAAAACTTGATGTACTAAACTTTTATTAGATTCATTTTGTAGTTCAAACGAATAGCAGATTGGTAAGGATTGTGCTTCCGACAATAGCATGCGTACTAATACTCACATGCATAGTCCTTGTGAGGATATGCAGATGCCAAGGTAGAGTAAATAAGGTCCCTTGTTTTAAATTCAACTTCATTGTTTGAGTGTGTTGAAAATCATATGAGATTTGAGAGATTTGAGTTAGGGATTTGAGGGAGCATGAAGAGGATTTGGGGAAACTCTGGATCGTTCCACACTGATCCATTCTCTCTGCTGATTTATATATTGTTTGTACAATTTACATTTTAGACCCTATGAACTCACCTAATTACATTATCTACACACCAACACTCCCCCTCAAGATGGGGTGAATATGTCATACAAACCCATCTTGCTACAAAACATGGAAAAAGTCTTTTCTGGGAGTCCTTTTGTAAGTACGTCTGCTACTTGACTTACTGAAGTTACATATGATAGGCAAATTATCCCTCTATTAAGCTTCTCCTTGATGAAATGACGATCAATTTCTATGTGCTTGGTTTGGTCATGTTGAACGGGGTTATTTGTAATGTCAATAGTAGCTTTATTGTCACAGTACAACATCAAAGGTTTGTACTTATACAGCCGCAGCTCTGTTAGGAGAATCTGCAACCATAATAACTCACATATGCCGTGAGCCATAGACCTAAACTCGGCCTCTGCAGTAGACCGAGCCACCACACTTTGTTTCTTACTTCGCTATGAAACTAGGTTTCCTCCAATAAATGTACAATAACCAGATGTTGAGCGCCTATCATCTAGGGAACCAGCCCAATCAGCATCGGTGTAGCACTCAACTTGCAAGTCCCCTTGTTTGGTATATAAGAGACCTTTTCCTGGGCACCCTTTAAGATGCCGTAGGATCCTATTTACAGCTTCCATATGAACTGATTTTGGGTCATGCATGTATTGGCTAACTACACTCACAGCAAAGGCAACATCTGGACGGGTATGAGATAAATATATTAACCTTCCAACTAGTCTCTGGTAACGCTCTCGATCCACTGGTGTCCCAGCATCACTACATAATCGATGATTTTGCTCAATAGGTGTAGCAGCAGGTCGACAACCAAGCATACCTGTTTCCTTGAGCAGATCCAAGATATATTTTCGCTGTGAGAGAAAAATACCTTTTGACCCTCGTGAGACCTCTATACCAAGAAAATATCTTAGTTGTCCCAAGTGCTTCACTTCAAACTCATGTGCAAGATGACACTTCAGATCTGCAACTTCCTTGGAATCATCTCCAGTAATCACAATGTCATCGACATACACTATCAAGATTGCAACCTTGCCATTAGTATGCTTGTAAAATAGCGTATGGTCAGCATTACTTTGAAGATAACCCCTCTTTAGCATAGCATGTCTAAACCGATCAAACCAAGCTTGTGGTGATTGCTTTAAGATGTATAAAGAACGATGTAGGCGCAATACCTTTCCAACAGTTTGACTTGACTCAAATCCAGGCGGTATATGCATGTATAATTCTTCTTGAAGATCACCATGAAGGAAAGCATTCTTCACATCCATCTGGTAAATATCCCAATCAAGGTTTACAGCATATGATATAAGTGTCCTTACTGAATTCATCTTTGCCACCGGTGCAAAGGTCTCTTCATAATCAATTCCATATGTTTGTGTGTAGCCTTTTGCTACAAGGCGGGCTTTGTACCTCTCCACCTTGCCCTCAGGGGTGTGTTTAATAGTGAAGACCCACTTACAACCTACAGGTTGCTTACCTGGTGGTAGATCCACAAGCTCCCAAGTCTCATTCTTCTCCAAGGCTTTCATCTCATCAAGCATTGCTTCCTTCTAATTTGGGTCCTCTATAGCTATTTTCCAGTTTGATGGTATGGAGACAGAATCTAAAGATGCAATAAAGCTTTTGAAGGGTGGAGTACAATATTTATAGGAAATGAAATTGGCTATATCATGCTTAAAATCTTTGAGGTTGTTGGGGAACGCAGTAATTTCAAAAAAATTCCTATGATCACGCAAGATCTATGTGATGCATAGAAACGAGCGGGGAGAGTGTGTCCACGTACCCTCGTAGAGCGAAAGCGGAAGCGTTTTATCAACGCGGTTGATGTAGTCGTATGTCTTCACGATCAGACCGATCCAAGTACCGAACGCATGGCACCGTCGAGTTCAGCACACGTTCAGCTCGATGACGTCCCTCGTACTCTTGATCCAGTTGAGGCCGAGGGAGAGTTCCGTCAGCACGACAGTGTGGTGACGGTGATGATGAAGTTACCAGCGCAGGGCTTCGCCTAAGCACTACGACGATATGACCGAGGTGTGTAACTGTGGAGGGGGGCACCGCACACGGCTAAGAAATCAACTTGTGTGTCTATGGGGTGCCCCCTGGCCACGTATATAAAGGATGGAGCGAGGAGGAGGCCGACCCTCATAGGGCGCGCCCAAAGTGTGGAATCCTACTAGGACTCCCTAGTCCTAGGGCAGCACTCCAATTTTGAAACGTTTTCAAGTCAGTTAAGCTACTAACAAGAACATGTTAGCTAAGCTAGTGTACTTCTTGCAGAGTTGCATTTCACTGTGGCCTTATTACCTCACATGAATAAACCTTCTGCTGGAGTTGCAGTTCTTGGCGAGAACCGTGAGTGCAAAACCTTCTCCAATTACTCACACCTGCATAATTCGACCAGCCATTCAGTCAGCTGATTATTCATAGCGCCATTCTACACAGAGCAGACATACATAGCCTCCTTACCATTGCAGTGTCAGTTTTAGGTGATGAAAGGTTGTCAGCTTGTTTGCCATTATGGCCTGCGCAGATGAGTTGCTTGTTGGTTAGTACAAAAGCATCATCCCTTCGTGTGATTAAAACGAAGCGAATCTGAATATTTAGATATGACCTTTATCCTTTTCTTGCACAATGCCGCAGCAGCATGGGGATACCTTCGAAAATATCATATGCAACAACAGCTTGACAATGTGCTTTGGGGGATGCTATTGGCAATGGCTGCAGCAATTCCACAGTGACCAGCATGCGCTTAAGATGGATTTGGCACACTGTATCAAAGATGTCACAAGCAACAGTTGACAGTTAAAACTCAAAACTGCATGCGCCGAACAACACCAATCTCGTCTGGCTATTGCAGTGGAAGAAGACTGTCTCAGTCAACCACACCTTTCCCCCAACTCAATATCTTGCTTCCGAGGAGATTCATCTACAAAACGGAGCAAACACCATAACTGAGGTTAGCTACTGACACTACATGCATGTCTGACTGAAATAGGTAAAAATTATACCAGGGCAAGGTACTTACAGTCCCATCACTAGATAGGCAGGTTCCACATGTAAATAGTTGGGGTCACCAAGTAAATTCCTGGCATTAATCGACAACCTGATTCACTGTTAATAAAGGTAATTTACATATTAATGTTATACCGATATGGAACATCATAATAAACTAGTGTTATTTATAAATAGGCACACCTTCAGTCTTCATGAGTTTTGGACAAAATGTAAACACAAGTGGCTTGAAAGCCCACCAAACAAAAATAAGAACACCTGAACAGCAAGCCAACAGAAATTAGAAATGCAAGAACACCTGGTACTGACAGCAACATAGGAGAGACTTGACCCAAGGTCTCATTTATTCCTTACTGATGTCCTACTGCTATTTTGATCGTGAGACCCAAAATAGGAGAGTAGACTGCCACGTCTTGATGAATAACAATAACCTAAATATAAATGCAAGATATGAAGAAGCCTATAAGATCGAACAAACACCTGCACACATAACAAAAACAAATGGTGATCACAGGTTTTGTTGGAAGAAAAGAAGATAGACTTGCAGAAGGCATTGGCTGATAATGGTGCCGATTTTATCGTTTTGTGGAAAGAAAGGGCCGTTGAGAAACAAATCTTAAATAGTTTCACTACCGTTGAGAAGAAAACGGAAATCTGATATGGCAGGAGTAAAAGTGGATTTTTTTTTGCGGTGAGTATAATATGAAGTGTATGTAACTGATATTGGTGTGGATGGGAACTCCAAGGCAGAGTCCTGCATGGTGGATGGGAACAAATGCAGAGTTATATATTAAGCAGGAAAAGGGCAAAATAGAAAAACACAGGAAAGTATGTTTGTGTTACCTTGGATCACAGTATTTTGACTCTTAGGATGGTTCCTACTAACCCCCTGCACTTGTCCTTTAGCTCCTTGCTGCAGTTGCAGACACGTAGCTTTTCCAGAGAACCCAGGAGGGCATCGTTGGGCCAATCATCACACACTGTGTCTTATCAGATATAGTACAACAGGAGTAAAGTTCCAGTTTACATGTACTTACTAGATTTAAGTACAGGAAAGGAAGACCACAAACGAATTTTTATTATGCAGAAATGAAGGAAAAGGGCAAAGTGGAAAAACACAAGAAAGTCTATTTGCGTTACCTTGGATCAGAATATCCAGATATCTGGGATGGTTCCTACTAACCCCCTGCACTTGTCCTTTAGCTCCTTGCTGCAGTTGCAGACACGTAGCTTTTCCAGTGAACCCAAGAAGGCATCGTTGGGCAATGACGAGACGTCTGGACAGTAGTGGACTGATAACATCTTGAGGCTGGTAACGTTACACAGCCCTGCAGGAAGTTGTTGAAGGTCCTTGAAATCCAAAAACACTAGTTCCTGGAGGGAGGAGAGGAGTTGAAGGGCGTCCTCTTGCTCCTTGCTGAATCGCACCATCCCTTCACACGAATCCCCCACAAGTGTCAGCTTGGTGAAGGAGGAAGAGAGGAATCTGCAGACGGGTGCAGCAAGAAGTCCTGCTATGTCACCTGTCATGAGCTCCCACAGTGTGGACGAAACAAGTTGTGTCTGCTGCTCTTCACCTCCCTCAGCATCCTCCAAAGCCCGTCTGGGATTGGGATCCCAATCAGCAAAGAAACTAGGGCTGCCCAAGACTATTAATTCCTTGAGATGGCCCCCGGTGATAAGGAGAGACCACAAGCCCTGACATTTCAGATCCTCTCCACAACCTTGCAATTCTAAACTGATAAGAGAGGAGAGGTTTGAGAGAGGCTCCAGTGTCCCCATGCCTTTCACATCCCAAAGCTCCAGAAACTGCAGGGAGGAAGGGAAAATGTGACAGGAAAAGGAGAAGGTGGATACAAACTTTGGGGACCCCTATATTGTTAATCTCTGGAGGGATCGCAAAGCTTGGAGCCCTCCTCCACCAGGAACAAGCTCTTTGCAGCCCCTAAACTTCATTTCCTGTAGCGAGTCACAGAGATGAGCTGGGAAGAGCAGCACCCCATCATACTCTTCCTCTGTTGCTGCTGTTATTTCACCTCCCCCCATCTCTGATGCTTCTTGTGTTGTTTGTTGCATATCCACCCCCACTACCAGCTTTTTTATGTTGTTGCACTCCCATATTACTAATTTGGAGAGCTTTGGGAGGTAGGGGAGGAGCTCTGTCAATTCCTCGCCAGTATTACCATTTAAGTTGTTGATCCAGATATGCTCAACAGGGAGCTGCCATTCCACATCACTCTGACCTCCTCCTAGTGGTCCAACTAGACCAACTGAATCTTCTACAAGCAATGTCTTCAACGATGTTAGCATCAGAAGGTGCTTCAACTCCAGAGGTGGGCACCTCTCGAGTCTCAGTTTCGCAAGACTTGTTTGTTTATCAAAAACCAACACTTTGTCTAAGCTAAGAAGATCACCCTCTCCGGTAATTTTCAATTCTGCTCCACCGGATGATTCTGAGTATGCAAACTCCTTTAGCATCTTTACACATTTCATTGTGACAGAACGCAGATTTTCGATCCAGGAGATGGGAATCACTGGCAAGAATTCGGGACAGTAACGTACCTGAAGCTCTTGTAGCTTGGGGAACCAATCTGGGGAAACAACATGGGTTGAAAAAGGCAACCCCGACAGTTTCGGGCAGTCCCTAATAACCAGAACTTGCAAAAGAGGGAACATATGAGCATCCGGTGGCAACACGTCTCCACCAACAAAAGACTCTTGTTCAGCTGGGTAAACCCAGTTTTCAAAATTTCCTAGGCCAATGAGTTCAACCTTTGCTAGCATGCAAAAGCATTTCACTATGATAAACTCCTTCAGACTGTCAATATCCTCAAAACATAATTCACGAAGATCCCACACCTCCCCTAAAGAAGGGAAAACTTCCCAAGAAACACCATAAAGATGAAGAGATTGTAGACCCTCAACAGCGAACTCATCACCCAGCCATGTTGGACAAGGACCTCCATGCCCTCTAATGCACAACACTTGAAGATCTCCATGTGGTTGTAGGCTCTCAAGAACTGCTGCTTCCACACCAAGCTCAACACTAGATAGCTTACTATCCCAGTCCAATGTTAACCTCCTCAAGTAATTTTTCTCCATCAGTTTTACTTGAGCTGCTTCTTCTCCTGTATCTATCTTCTCAAGGTTGTAGATGCCAAGCTCCCTTAGCTTGGTCAAGTGCTCTAGTTGCTTTGGTTCAAACCCTTCACTTTTTTTATTGACTTGAAATACCTTCAACTCTTCTAAAGTTTAAGTTTACCCACATTATAAATATCAGAATGAAGCTGGCCATCACTTGGGACATAAAAATGGCACAGTTTGGCAAGGTTGCTCATGTCATCAGGAAAATCACGACTGCCATTCCACCATTTAAGATCTAGAATCCTTAAATGATAAAATTTAGCGATGCTAAGTGGTAAATGCATCTGGTTGTCATGTGTCCCTAGACATATGTATCGTAGGTGGAGAAGTCCTGAAAAGTTATGTAACATGAACTCCATGGGACAAAGCATTTCGGGCAAATGAAAAACACGAAGAGTGTTCGCTTCCCCCAAAAAATCACCAAATATCTTGACAAAACCTTCATCCATTTTTCCAAATAACATCAATGTTTGCAAATGTCCAGCCTTAAATCTTGTGTTCAGTTCTTCCAATTTACTCTTCAATTTTTCACCAGACACTGCATCATATTCACCTAAGCCATCTGTGCTTATAGACAAGTGACGGACGGATGGCTGAGCTTCCACTTGTCCAACATCAGAGAGACATAAACTAAGACAATCATGCGATGCAACCTTCAATGCCAAATCATGCAGTAGGTCATGCATAACATAACGCAGACCATACTTGGTTTCCTCTTCTCTGAAAAATCCATGCGTGACTAACTCATTTAAATTGCTCAGAGCTATGTCTTCAAATGTTTGGTTTTGGCCATTGGGTATCAAAATATCTAGTCCGATCCATAGACTGATCAGCTCATCACTTCTGAAATTGTAATCTTCAGGAAACAATCCAGAATAGGCAAAGCACTGTTGCAGATGAAAAGGAAGAAAGTCATAGCTAAGCTTCAAGGCAGGCATAATTTCATTGTCATCGGTCTGCTTCTCCCATCCTTTACTTTTTAGGACCCTTTTCCAGTGACGCAAACTAAGGTCTTTACTCAGTAATCTACCAACTGTTTTTGCTGCAAGAGGGGAGCCCTTTAGTTTTTCCATTATCTTATCTCCAATCTCAAGGAAAAATTGTTTGTCCCTTGGGTATTGCTCATCACCAAAGACACATGCAAGGAATAACTTTCTAAACTCTTGAGATTCTAAACCATTCAGCTTTATTGACTGGCAAGGTGTTTCAATCTTCTGCGCTATTGCTTCAAACCGAGTTGTGACCAGAATCATGGAACCCTTTTCCTCTGATTTATTGAGTGTCGACAATAATTTTCCCCAGTCATCCCCATTACTAATCTTCCATATATCATCCAATACAAGTAAGAATCTTTTAGATTTTAATCTTTGCCCAATCAAATCTTCAGTTGTACTGCCAAATTTTTCCTTTTCAACTGCAGGGGTGCAAGTTTTAATCTGCTCTAGCACCTGATCCAGATTGAAACTGAGTGACACACATATCCAAATCATGACGGGAAAATGATCTTGCATTTGTTGGCTGCGATATATGTGTTGTATCAGTGTAGTCTTCCCCATTCCACCCGGACCAACAACTGGAAGCACAGTTAGACCCTTGTCACAGTAGTGACCATTGGTGATGTCATGTATGATTGTATTCATGACATGGCCCCTCCCATGCAATTTTGGCTCATCAATCCGACCTTTGGTGACGGGACGCCTCCGAGCAATGCTTGGGACAATTCTAGGGTCACAACCTTGAAGAAGCTTGTTAACCTCACTACGGATAAGCTGCAGTTTGTCTACAATGTCCTTCATCCTTTGAGAGAAATCAACCCTATTAAACTCAAACTTTTGTGTTTCTTGGGACTTGCCACAATCATCATCACAAACATGTGGATGTGGAGAAGATGAGCAACATAAGAGTTTACTGAGCTTGGGCATGCATCCGCTGACCTCCTCATTGGTGTCTGACACTGAGCAATCACTGTGTGACCTCTGTTGGCACTTAGCACGCTGCCAAGGGCAACAGTTGACCATTTTGGCAACAGCTTTGGCGGTGTGGTGAGCATTGAAGGCAAGGTTGCAGAGGCAACCCTTGCCGTGCTTATCAGCAGCATCATGCGTGCCATGGAGCTTGTCATGGATGCGGAAGTAGTCTAGCTTGTCCAGCAAGTCTTCGGCATTGTGTGCCGAGTCCCGCAGTTTCTGCAGCAGCACCTCCATGGTTGGGCCGCTAAGCTCCTTGAGGGCAGCTTGTTCTAGCGTAGCCTTCACAAGCAGAAGTTCCATGCCGAGGGCCTCAATGTTGAGACAAAAGTTCCTGCTGGCCGCCCAAGCCCCTAGGACGCCATCCGCAACAGGGGCCAGCGCCTTGGCCACCACCCATTGTGCCGTGGCGAGGGCCACATACATCGTTTGATGCAGGGATGGACTACCTGCATCGATCCAGGAACCAAAGAGAATCTAATCCGTCTTAGATATATGCATGTACTAATTTGCTGTCACCAATCAAAAGTAATGAATCCTAGATGAGCTCTTACTTGTACAAGCTAGTTGCAAATTAAATGACGGGAATAGGTACATACGTTGACGTGTGTGCACGAGGTGCCGATATTTCGGTTATGGGTGTCGTCTGCCTAGGCCTTGCTAGCTGCAAAAGGGTTATGTTGGTTTTGAGTCGTTGTAGGAGGCCTGCAGGCTAGCTGCAGGAGACACCTTATATACATGCACACACACAGAGATCACACGAATGGCTGTAAGTCCAGTAATGCCCCCAACGGATCTGATGCCAGGTGTTGTCTAAGCTAGCAGTTTTACAAGGGGCTGTCATGAGCTAGAAACAGAGCTCTTTCACGGTACAGGGCCCTTGGTATGATAATTAATTGCTGCCAGCAAACGCGCATCCCATGAAATGAAACCGTAAAAACAAGACTAGCCGGTGGATCTCACGCTGGTGGCATTGTACCCTTCACGTTGCTGGCACAAGGACATGCCATGGTAAGGAATTTTTTCCAAGTCTCTATCTCCTACACTACATACTTTATTCTCCTCTCATTCTCATTGCTGGACAGGGCGGCAGAAGTTTCCTCAGAGGGATGAAGAATACAAGCAACGGTTGGTGACAACGGGAAGACAACAGGAAGCGCATGGAAATAGCTTCCTTCTTGGTTACATCGTCGAGCGTACAGAAGGTTCCAAAGTTGAATTGTCCTTCATGAAGCTACTTGTATAAAATTACAATCTGATAAAGAGCACAAACTTGGTGAAAAAATTATCTTCATCTATTTTATTTTTAGGGAACTAATTTAAGTTAGCTGTAGGCTGTAGGTACCTAGCTAGGCGGGGGGAAACTGAGTGAGCTAATGGACCCAATTGGCCCCACAATTCCACATTTAGCTAATTGTATTTCACACTGAACTGCCGGCGTTCATTTGATTTACTGGCCAATGCATGAATCTATACCTTCATTTGGTTTCACTCTAACCAAGTCGGCGTCGTACATAATACAAATAATAGAAGATAAGGTAAAATAACACGGGGGCACATCAAGTTGTGAATATAAATGAATGGACGGCATTGTCACTATATCGAGCTACGCAAGATAGATAGTACCAGCTCGCATTGTTTTTCACGCTCCAGCTGAAAGCGGAGGAGAGA